ATCTACACCTTCCAGAGACTTCACTAAAGACATGAGAAGTTCCTTCCGACATGCAGAAGTGACTGGTGCTACTGGCATAGCCCAGATGCCAGGTCACCTTGCGGGGGCCACAGTGGCGAAGCCCCACATAGCTTGTTACCAAATCCGAGAGTTCAGCAATCAATTATAGTATTACACTGTTGTTCCTTCTCAGTTATTAACCGCCTGTTGACATTTATGCACGAAAGAGTGTTTTAGCACCAGATTGTGTGCAAAGGATCTTATGTCCAAATGCCAAACCAAGACCATGATGCGATGTTGAACATCTGGGCGCGGTGCGATGATCAGGTCCGCTGCCTGTAAATCGTGGTTCCAGTTCTGCAAAATACTATGGATTTTATGCCCCTAGACTTAAAAGCGAGAGTATCTATTTTAGCTGCTAGAAAAGGTTATAAACAGGCAGAGAATGGAGCTAGTATGGGTTTGAGTTTACAGCTAACACCCACCCGTACATTTAAAAATTCACAGCCGGCCTAGCTTGGGAGTGCGTGCTTCGAGGTACTGTATTTGGTACCTTAATATTGTAAATATGGTTTTTCTTCTTTTAATTTAATATGTTCGTTGGTAATTACCATTGCTGATGGTGCCCCGAGTTCGGGAAGGGGTGGACGGCTTGAGTAACTAGTATTTCGCCTGCTTTTCTGACCATCTATTAGAGCAGGTGAGCGTATGCAGGGACTTCCTATATTAGGGCCTTAATATCACTGAGTCATGCCAATTAAGACGGAGTCACTGACTCCGTTTAAAGTCTTCTTCATTTCGAGGTTGTATTAAGACGCCGTGGGATCATTACAGATAACGGAATGGTGGCATACTGATGCACTGCCAGAAATAAATGTGAATGTACTTTGTAAAGGGTCACAAGCATCACTAACCCCTCTATACTTACCATTTCGACAGCGCTAGAACCGATAGTTTATCTGGTTGAAGTTTTTGGTACGATTTCGCTGGAAGTGGGTATTTTTTCTGGTGGTAGCAGAGTCAGGATAGACTAATCTCTTCATCGATGTGGCAGTATATTAGGGGCTGTCTTTCCATGAGAGGTACAATTTATGCTGGTTTAGTCCATTGGCGTACGGACACGACCCTGTTCATATACTCGCATATTTGGGTTTCGGACATCCGATGAACTTTCGCGCCTCGTTCCTGTGTTGTGCCAGGAAGACTTTGACACAATGTCGTGCCTATTTTGTTGCCCAGGACCTCCACATTCGTCCAGTTCTCCTTATTTTGCATAGCCATCCACCTCACCATGGCTATTTACATTGAAACAAGTTGTCGAAGTTTTAACCCATTCCTATTACTGCGCATTTGTAAATTAATCCCGTCATTCATTGACCACAAAAGAACAAATAAATATAATATGTAAAAAAGGCTTAGGTACATAGTACTTGAAGTGGAAGTCTTACGTGCCTACATTTAAAGTGGGGCTTTTATAACTACAAGTGCTTCCGCCTAGACGACAACGCCAGGATTGTCACACCATTCGGTGTTTGAAGTAGTCGGCCTCGATCCCCAAGTCACCGATTCACTCATGCCTCCACCGTTCAGGAGAAGCTGTAATACACCCAAAATGTCTTTCACCTCAAAGCCTGCATTTACCATTAACTTGCATTTAGAGAACTCACCTTTTTTGTTGGGCTATCTCCCTTTTGCAGTGCTTCGAGTTGATCAATGTAACAGTTCTTGGTGTATCCAAGCAAATCTACGATTAGATGTAGTAAATTGTCAAAGACAAGCAACAGAGGACCCCAAATACATGATTGGATAGTGTAACTAGAGTTGAAATGCGCTCCTTAACAGCAATTGATGGATTTTACTATTCCGGACTCAGTTAAATTCGACATGCCTTGGAAACAAATACGTGAGGAATAGAATTGCTTCGTATTATGTGATGAGTTGCCAGATTGTCTTCACACCCAAGAACAGGTGCTTACCAAGATGTCCTACTGTCCTACTTGAGACTTCTCCACGCTGTTGGTTATCAAGTGGAGTAAGGCTGTACGACGGTCCAGGGTAATGGCGCCTTGAGGATGGTCTTCCCATTGTGTTTCTGTGGTAGCACACCTGGTCGTTCACCCTTCCCTTAGAGACTTGACCCCTGTCTAGTGCGTCACTAAAGCTCTGTCTGCGTCTCAGACCACTTCGTGGCCTGACAATGAACTTCGGCTCAGATCGGTGGCCTTGACCGGACGCGACTGTGGCCGCCTTTAATGTGGAAAATATCATGTGATGTTTAAGTATTCGCTGAATATAAAAAGATACAACTGAGACTCAACCATGCGATGCACTAACAAGTAACGATGAATAGACAACAGGGAATAGGAACTCAAAAAAGCAGAAGTGGTTCACTGCCTTGTCACGGAAAATTTATTGCAAACAGTGAAAAATGAATGAGAGGAAGTAGATGAACGCCAAGCACAACTAATGTACGCATATCAGTGCTGCGTATCATGCGAGAGGATTTTGACGACGGCAAAGGAAGAAGATAAAATGAATAAAAAAAAGTTAATAGATGGTAAGTTCATGATATTTTTCATTAAAATAAGATATTTTAACCCACCACTGGGGTAGGAGATGTGTAACTTCCACCACCTACATGGGTGTGATGAATTTGTGGATACGTCCCGTCATTGGTGTACAGAGCTGGTGGTACGCCTGGCATGTAGGTTGACTGGCAGATTGCATTCCCCAACTCGGGTATATGATCACTGGGGGGTTCGTATCCATAGACAGGGTTGGTTTGGGCAGCCTCACCAGTTAAAAGAGGATCGGGCAAATAGAAGTGCTCCCCACTCAAGCGCCTGTGATGCGGATCTCGGCAGTAGTGTCCATCTAAGAACAAAATATAGCTTCAAAGAAGGCTGTTCATCACGGATTAGGTGTTTTGCTGTTCTTATATGACACCAACACCTGTACCATTTGAAAGATTAATTAAGTGTAATTATTCTTGGACCGAGAACATCCCATATATAGACTGATAAAGAGTAGATATCCCATTTTAGGGAAGTAGGAGTCAGGTAGGAAAACCGGGGTGTCCACGGTCTATAGATACCGTATTTCGATTCACCTTGGTACTGTTTCTTTAGTGGAAGGATATGCGACTTTGCGGAGGATGGTCCCGGGATCTGGTTGCCTCCTCTGTGCCTCTTTCGAATGAGATAGGTGATTACAACGATGTTAACGAAAATCACCACTCCTCCGATTACACAGGCCGCAACGATGATGAAAAGGGAACTGGATTTCGAGTAGCCGACGGCTCTTACGCTGTGATACCCATTGAATCCATCGAGATCTTCCAAAACTGGAGCAAAGAAATCGACAGTGTAGTGAGTATGATGGCGGACAGTTCAAATTAGTCTAAAGTCTAGATCGAAAAATTACTACTCTGCCCAATTCCTAAAGAGAATCCGAAACCACGTTTTTGTTTTCATGTTTGCTTGAATGTGCCTTAGATGTGCTTCCAGGGTTCCATTATAGAAATGGGGACAAGCGTTCTGTTACATTCATAAGGCACGACCTTAAAAACGTGAAAAGAAAAGGAATGCCTTTCAAGGGTGCCTCGGGAAATGCGCTGATGTGAGTTTACACAGCCGCATGTTCGGAGGATTGCTCAACACTAATTTTATCGCCCAGAAAAAGCCAAAGGGTGTGCCGCTCAAAATATACAGTTTCGAAAATCATTTAGATTACAGAATTTAACAATGTAAGAAGTCTTACCCGGACTGGTCTTTGCGTGAATAGATTCTGTATACTCCGTTTGTCCGTGAATATCATTTCTGGAACTGACACCGATTTCATATCGCGTATTTGGCTTCAGGCCTATGGAGGAAAGATGGTTATAGGAGCTTCATTTATAGGTGATTTGCGACAGCAGAAAGACTCATTTACCGTTTATGGTAAACATAACATCACCCACATCTTCTATTTCGGCAACGTCAGCATATCTATACTGATCATCGGGATGATCAGATTTCCAGCGAACCTGTCAAAATATATAAATGGCAAGTATTAATTTGCGGGACTATTAAAGTTCACACTCAAATTTATTTTAGTAGATATTTTTCAATACACTTGAATGCCAACGCAACATCAGTTGAAGCATAAAGGATATTTGGTTTCAATTTGAACCATTTCCCGAATTCGTATTTTATCAAAGTAAAAACAACCTAGATGAAAAATTTCGATAGTACGATGGATGAAACACAAAATTCCTATAAGCAGGCATCTACCGTGAAGGTTTGCTTATAACCACCATTGAAACCCTGGCCCCAGCCAACTCGAAGACTCGTGATAGATGCATTCAACAGATGCAGATCATAGGGGACCTCTGGTGGACCGGTTCCAGTTACTTGAATTGCAAACTGGTCTTCATCCCCGCTTGCTGCCATTACCTAAATTGATGATGAGCAAGCCAAGGTAAATTGACGATAAACTGATGAGTAATTGCACAATCAAATCGAAAATACTTATTTATAGGTAATGACTCCATACTGTTCCCTTAGAAAGAGCAAAGAGACTTTACGGCTGATTTATTTGGCGATTCTTGTTTTGATTACCTATTAAGCTAGGTCATTTTAGGTAGCGTTTACACAATCGAACGATTTCTTTCTTGATGCCATATCATCATCTAAATACCCCACTTACAATCCATTGGCAAAATCACTTGGCCATAAAATCACCATAAATCTTTTCGTGCTTATTTAAAGGGGCACAGAAAGTAGGAATCTAATAAACACACGAACAAATACAAACTGAATTTTTTGCAACCTTCTACTTCACATATATGGAGCTGTCAACGTGCTGTCTACAGTACGGCAATGGATGTTTTAGTAGGGAAAATAAGGCCTCTAACCTATTTCTCAGGACTATAGAGTAGATTAGAACATCCATATTGAATCTACTGCATTGAAATACGGGAAGTTCTGGGAGGTAGTATTAGAAGTTGACTAACATTAAGCCTGCTGGTGTTTGGGATTTAAACTACTCTGGTTCAGGAGTCGATGAATCTTCCCACTGAGTATACTACTAACAGCTTTCACCAATAACTTTTCGTAGCCAAAAATTGTTATTGGACAATGGTAACGCACCAAGAACGGAGAGGGATCACATAAGTACTTCTGCTTTTAGTTCCAGCCATTGTAAAATTGTAGTGAATTAGAAATCAGAAAAATCGAATTTTCCCGAAGGCTAGTTAGATTCCATCCCTCAGCATTCGCTTGTCAGTATCTATGTTATTTCTCCTTTTCTCCTATGGCCTAACTTCCGAAGCCCACCATACCATGAACGTCAGTACGGCTTGTTTCAAACCTTGAACTTTACTCTTTTATGACTGCAATAAAAGAATTTATTTCCATGTTGAGTATTTGCGTCAATGGAGCGGACTGTGTCAATAATGTCAAGCCTCTGATAAAATATTGCTTCTTTCTGTGGCTCGTCATGTATGTTAGTTCAATAGTCTAGCTTGACAATACTTATAGTAAGATGCAAGGTTAGATGACTATTTAGGGTAGAGTGTTCGCGTGACACCCTCAAATAAGCCTAGTCACTCCACCTTGCCTTTACGTCTCAAAAGAACATATTTCAAATGCACAAACTCACCAAATATGCTTGGTATAGTGACAACTTTTAATGAGAAACGCAGATGAAATACAAGTTATTTAAGATAAAACTACCGGTCTGATCAACTAGCATAAAAAAACAAGCTTGGAACTATCATTTCTTATTCTGAAAGTTCACTTGAAATAACTTCAAGATCTCTACCCAAAAGACTGTTAACAGTAAAAAAAATCTTGTATCACGACAAAAATCACTTTCTACCTCCTGCCTCACCTTACAAGTATACTGTCCAAAATCCGAAACATGTATGGCATTGATGTGTAGTTTAGCGGCATAGTAGCCAGGACGGATCTGCGTTAGAGATGGAAGGAACTTAGGACTGGACGGCCTGACACATGGCACACTCAGCTCTGCTACGAAGGCGCCGCAACGCGAATCGAGTACGTGGGTCACGGTGGCGCTTCCCTTCTGGTCGCGTCGGCTTAGAATCCAAGCGACGCGGGGCATCGGCTCCACTCGCACGAAGCACTGCAACACCGCCCTGGTCCCGAACGGGGCTGCCACCTTCGCGAATTTAGGCTGCCGCACGATCTCCGGAGCGACTGGAGGAAGGAAAGTATTGGTACATCTGTATCCTACTACCTTTCTTCAGCAATCATGATTTTGGCACCATAGCAATTACTCTTTACAACAATAACCCAGATATCGAGCATAATGAGTCTAGCTTATCTAGACTAGATCTTAAGCCTTGGTACTACTGCTATGAGAAAACTAATAGGATTTTATTTAACCTCACCACTTAGTATTGCAAGGTATATTTTACAGCTATGCCCAGTCCACTCGAAGAGGTACACAAGCATGCCTCTTAAAATGCACCCATTGACGAAGCGTTCAATTTAGTGTATGCAACTTTTTTTCCTTTAAAGCAATAAATAAGTTGTTACTCGAACAGAATTAGCAATGTTCATTACCATGACTTGCTCAGTAGCAATATTGTAACATTTTATAGCGTCATTCATTTGCATAGGCAACATTCGAGGAGTTCCACTGATGTCATTACAACAGTAGCTTGAGCCCATGAAAGAGCTAGTTTATTTACGAAGGAATAAGCCACCCACTTATTAATGGTAGGAAAATAGACATCATTGCTAGATGTCTATAGATGTCCCGACGACTTGGGAAAAATTGCAGTGTAGCTATTTTAAATGGAGTTAGCTCAAACAGCCCATTCGAGGTATCTCTCGATCATAACCATATAAGCAAAAAGTAGGACCAGTTCTTGAAATTGGGACATGTTTTCTAGGCAAAACGTCATGTGCGTTCATGTTCAAAGTAGCTCCCTTTCCTTTGAAGCCAAAATTCTTGATTGTAGTGTGATAACAAGGAAAAACGATTGGATGTGTGAGACACGCCAACTACTAATTTTGATTGAGTAGTATACAACTGTCCATCATTGAGTACTGAAAAATTCCATCCTCTTATATTTACTTTTTACTTTATGCTAAAATGAAGTCAAAATAAATTTACATGTGCTGAAGAGCTTCACTTCAGACCGGTCTGGTGTAGAAATACCATTGTCCACGGTACAACCGTAGAGGCCAACATCGTCCCTAGTGACATTGTAAACTAGCAGTCGACTACGCATGGTGAATTGGTCAACGTCTTCGCACTGCACCATATGCTTGATGGTTCCGTTTATGCGAGTCACCTAGGGTAAAATGTAGCAGCAGATATGAAGGCTAATATCAATGGCATTAGGCTGTTGCTGTGCCATCAAAACCTTTTTATTTTAATGCATCTACACGATGGGAAAGAATCGGGAGCACACAATAAGCAGTATCAGAGATATCAACTCTCATACCTACGACTGGCACTTTGTACATGACTACCGTTTGGCTCAGTGAAGCATTCTGCTACAAGGTCCATAACATAGAGTAAAGAAATTACATCATTACAACCGAGAGAGGTGGTTTCAATCTGAGGAGCCTCATTAGCCTCCTTATCCCAGGCAGGAAAGAGAAGGCGATGCCAGGAGAACGCGTTGATAGCAGACGCGGGATTGCCTCTGGCCAAGCACTCTAAAACGGCCATCTTACCCAAGCTCACATTGGCATTAACAGACTTGTTGACCTTTGCGGAGTCTGCAGAAAACAAAACCGATCATGAAATTAGCATGCAGAACTAAACTCTTCACTAAGGAGTTCTCTAGGTACTGGAGAAGGAGGTCTTTTGAATTTTGACTATCTGGCTTGAGAGGCGTGAAGACACTGAAGTCGATACTGTAATTCACTGAGAGTGGAACTGCATTGGTGCGTCGGTTCCAAGTTAAGTGTGAGGCTTCACTTTTCCAGTCGCAAACTCATCTCGACCACGTGAATGATTGAGAATGACTGAATCAAAAAACCTGTCAAACTACTCAATCATCTAATCTTAACCTAATTATCTGAGCTATGGATAGTTAAAAGGTCTTAAAGGATGTCTGTACTACAACAAGACACATTCTCCAGTACTGTCCAACTTTCGAAAGCGCAAGTGCTTTTTGAAGGACTAGGTTAGTCTATTTGATGAAGAAGCAGTATGTCAAAGTAAAAATCCAAATTAATGAACCCGTATTTAAATTAAATGACAAGTTCTATCTGTAACTCAGTGACTGAGATATTAAAGTAACGGGCTTAACCATAGTCAAATGATAAACGTCCAAACTACTTTTTCGTTTTATAAGTAGTACAAACAGTGTTAACTGCAATTCAGCTATGAACCACTTGTAGTTTGCCCCTAACTCCCTTAACATGTGCACAACTTACACGTAACGTCCAAGAAGAAGGTGGCTTTCGTAGTCCCAAGACTATTTTCAGCTCTAACAGTCACATTATTCGCCTGGTTGCGCTTGATATTCCAGATTACTAACAGTTCATCCCGTTGATAGAGGCCGGTCAGCTTCGAAAGGGTCCGTTTAACCGACCTCTCAGAGAAGCTAGCCGTTCGGGGATCAATTGGACTCTCATTCAAGAACCGTCCCTCTACCGACCAAGCAATATTAGTGCACATTGGGTTGCCGTATGGAATCAAATCCAAGATTCCCGAGCTGCCTGCAAAGAATTATAAAAATTCACCAAAGTATGTTTTGACATATCTACCTACCACTGCGAGATTTATCTTGGCTTATCCACTTATTGACATCATCCAAATTAAATACCTAGTGGCAGGTACCTTCGACAATGCTGTGGGAATGTCCAGGCTGAAAGCCAATGAAGTGAGGCCGAAAAGAGACGTTAAGTTGAACCTGATTTTGCATCGTCAGGTGATTGTAGACACTGTTAGATGCGAGGCAGGCCACAATGTCCAAGTGATCCCTCCACTCGGGTCGGAGAAGCAGTCGACCTCGGGAAATGAAACCACCGTAGCTCCCCTTTGTCGGTGGATCTTCGATACCTGTGTCATTGTAAAACATTACAACTTGCCTTTATTAAGCAAAATGTATTGACAAAGAGGGGTGCCAGGGGCGACGCTTAAAAGGAGAGGAGAGCTATGTAATGCCCTAATTGTTTGTTTAACTCGTTTTAGGTTTGTGGGCCCTTAAGGATCTGCCATTGTACCTACCACTGGGCCGTATGGCCTCCAGGCCAAGTCAGTAGTCCCACACAGCCCTTCTGTATGTCGACAATACATATTTTGCCCTAGTATTATGACTTCCTTTGGCATCAGGACAGACCGGGGGCGGTATAGTGAAATCAGGTATCTCATAGATGCCCCCGCTGATGCAGTACGGCTAAAAGAGAACGCGATGAGCAGGCACCATATCAGAATCCACAATACCCTACCCTTCCCGGAATAACGAGCTTTCTCACTGTGACTTGGAGTTGCATCCATCCTAACCGTCCTTTCACAAGGCGCGCACTACATGCTCTAATAAGCGCCAACTGCGTCATATTTATGGTGTCCGGCGCACCAGTTGTTGGCACGTCAAATCCACTCGCTATTCATGATGGCTGGTAACTGTGACAACGTGTCCATTGAACGGTAAGTGAGGATGGAGTACATTGCGACGATAGGCGTAAAACCTGCTGATTTGGTAAAAAACTGTGTAAATGTCCCAAAGACGCCAACTGAGTGAGGGTTTACGACAGTGCTAATGAAAAATTCGGCAAACACGTTGAACGTGATTCTGATCCCAAATGGTTGAATGACGCATAATTCATCGGCGTGAAGGCGGACAAGAGAAGTCACTGTGTGAGAACAACAGAAAGAACAAAATCATTTAAGCATATTTGCGATTTCGGTGAAACGTTCTACCTTTGATCACCAAAGAAGGGTTTCGCGGTGTATTAATTTGGAAAAGTGTCTTTACAACGCAGATTAGGGTGGCCTGGGATGTAGCATTGCACGTGACGAAACCGAAATGAGCATGGAAGCACGGATAATGAATTCAGGCGGACTGTCCCAGGGTGATTCAGCCATATTGACAAATCCGTCCATGAAAAAGCTTTTCATGTACTTGCTAAATGGTGAATTGGTAAAAAATCTAACAGGGAATCACATGATCAAAAAAAATGTGATTTGCATCCCGTGATAGTTGCAAAATGGTGAAAATGGGAGAAATCACAAACCGATGCGATCGTCCATCTCGCAGTCCTGAGGTAGCTCATTTTGCCCTGGTGATGCTTCAACCAAAGGTTTGGTGACTTTGTTGAGTGAGGTGAGCAGAATTGTGGAGTGGTCGGCCCTCCGCATGTACTGTTTGATACGGCTGCAATGGTAGTAACGCCATTGCAGACGAGCAGGTGGGTTGGCGGACCCGGCCTCGCAACTGACTTCCACCTCCTGGTCAGCCAGAAGGCTACCCTGCTGGAGAATGCTTATGTTGACCTCAGAGGGTGGAAAGTGGACGTTTAGGATGAGAGGTCGGCTCTTCACATCTCCCAACTGGGCCCGACTCTTGGCCTGACACCTGTAAGTGGTCACAGTGACACAAGATAAAAGAGGCAGCGGAGAGAAGTTAAGTTGATCGTTACAGTATTTAGGTGCTCATGTTCACAGCCCTCTGATGTACCACTGAATTTTCCAGTAGCAGTAAGACGATTAGACCATGAAATCTAAGTAAGTCAAGATCGAATCAGGTGGTTGTCAACACAAGCAGTTGTGATATAGGGAAGCCAGATGAGGCTATTTATGATTGAACTTAATTATTTAAATTTATGCAGGCTATCTCAGCTCTCAGTAGAAAACTAGAGAAGTGTCTCAGATGACCGTCAATACACAATATGCAAGAAGCAGGCGGAATTAGTCACACCGAAACTGCTTAAGGTCACTAAGATAGAAGACAACTTTGTTACGAACTGGTGTTTATGAGCGTGAGCTTGGATCCTGCCAACCTCCCGACCTGGATAATCACTAGACAAGACTTTGACAGGAGTGACTATTCCCGGGCGGGTGAGTGATCAGGGAAGCTAGCCGGCTAGTGGAGGACGTCGGGGCTACAGAGAGATCGCATTCATGCGTACCTATGGTACTTGATTGACCTTGGCCCTATCGTGAATATTAGTACAGCCAAAGTACACCTGCAGGAGGGTGACCTTCAAGGCTGTTTGGGAATTAGACACAATTAAAACAGAAACTTTTCAGGAGTTGCAGGCCTGCCCAGCAAAAGTTAACTGGAAGCTAATTGTAAAATGCTAATTTGAGTGGTTTTCAAGCTTGTGCAGGCGCCGTGGAGCCAGGGGCACGAATATGAACTGATAAGAAGCAAAAATAGGAATAAAAGTGATTGTAGATTAAGGTGATAGAGATTAATGTCCATTGTTTGCTTTCACAGCCATCTGACATATTATTCAATTTTCCAGTGTCATTAAAACGGCCATAAGAATAAATACGCTCCCTCAGGTAATCGCTTTTTTAACGTGTCATTGGGTTTGAACGACTCTAGGAAGTAAGGACGAATCTTGATGCAGAGAGCACCTAGAAAAGAGCAGCTTAAAATTCAGTCATTTGGGCAAACTTGTCAGTAAATATCAATTCACAAAAACTACGTGAGATAATCATCAATGTATGCTGCAGTCCAGTGGACAAATGAAATATGTGTCTCCTCCAAAGGGATCCATGCAAATCACGTTGATGAAATTGGTGCAATTCATCAGTCTATTCTGATTTTTGTAGAAAACGAAATCCCTAGTTGATTACCCAGAGTAGTTCAAAACGGCTAATACATTGCCTCTAACCATTTTCAATGCATGAATTTCATCTCTTTAAATGAGTCCCCTGCTAGAATGAGGTTACAAGAATACTGTGCTCCAGACAACTCAATAATAGGGAGTAATTATATAAACTCACGTTATCCTAGCACCGTTGTCCTCCTTTCTAGCAACTATCTTTAAATCCAATCCAACACCGACGAGAAAATTTCGTTGCGTAAAGGTGGTTTCAATCGGTTTGCCATCTACGAAAAAGGGGGTGGCATCAGAAATAAAACAGTCAAGAACCAACTTTTGAGCCATCGAAGTTCCGGTGGAGGATATCCATTCAAACATTCACAGACCAGTATTCGAGATTCGCCAGTCCTTATCGGTTCGGCACTACCAAGACCCTTAATTGTTGGCTCGTCCGGTGGATCTAATGTACATTTCGGTTATGAGATGTGATAGCATTTAAACAAATAAATAATAAACTGATAACATAATGTAAGGTACTTATCAAGAACACATTTAAAATCGTACTGGCAAAGTTCAACTAGCTATCAGCATTACGCACATGCGATGCCCAGGCGGACACTTCGAATCACCCGATTAGTGCCATTATACCAGGCCTGACAATCGAGGAAGCTGTGGTGATTGCGCCGAATCATTGTGATGGTGACCTCAGATTCTCGAATGAAAGCCCCAGGTTGCCTGGTCGACGGCTTGCGAAGGTCCCGATCGGCTACTCTTTCCGATTGGACAGTTGTGCGATCCTCGGTCAGCAGAAACCACCTCAGCGCGACATCGGGATACATCTCGTCGGTGGTGCAGCAGAATGTTAACTTGGTGTTTTCTTGAGCGTAAGCCACTAACTCGGAACGGCCGTTTACGGAGCCGGTAAGAAGAGTCCCCTTCTTTAGCGTTATGGTGAGATTGTGAGGTAGAACTAGGAGGCGAAATGTGATGTAAAGTGTTGGTGCAAGAACGTCGTTTGAGTTCCTTTATTCACCACTGAAACGATATTTTGGATGGAGAATAAAAATTCTGTAAATGCGAAAGGATTACTCATAAAGTGGTGAATAATTGAGGTGGTTTAACATTTGTTTTTAACCGTCCAAGCTCTTCGCCCTCCTTGGGTTGGGTTTTGCCCCCATCGTGCAACACGACTTTTCGGTCAAGCTTAAGTCCTCCCCGCCCTTCTATCAGCCAGTGCTGAACTATTCTTCAAGGAAGGCTCCTGAATAAATAAAATCAAATGAAATATCATAATCGTCGCCGGGTTTTATTTAAAAAAGTGTTGCGACGCTCAAATTAGATACTGGCAAGATGTTGTAACATTTAATTAGAATCAAATGCTAATCCACTAGGAAAGATAAAATCTCATCTATTTCCAATATACTAGATTTACTGCTCGGTATTTTTTCATCGTTGGTTTTTTGGGTTCATTTGCATTTGGATTCAAATGTGACCCGTATTCTTCGTTGCGATTATTTGAGACGCCTGCAAATATCAACATTTGACATTTCGCTTGCCGATCTTACAGAAAAAAAGGTGGACATCAGCTAGTTATTTCTGCCTAACAGCCGAAGCTTGTTTTTTTTTTCAATTCGAGATAAAATAGAGAGTGAAATAATGTTGGGATTCAAATGGTCTTGCGATCAACATCATCTGCATGTTATGGGGCGATCAACACCTACCTCAATAAAGAACTCTTTGAAGTATCACCAAACCTACGTAATGCCTAGAAAAGCAGTGAAGTGCAGATGAAATTAGCGATAATTTGCCCATATCGCCAGGAGAGTTCGCAACCACTTCCTAATCCAGCACACTGTAAATTATACCCGTGAACACCGGAAGTATGCAGAAGGCATGGAAGCGCGGATAAATTCATCGATGATGGAAGCTGCCTTCCTGATTCAGAATGGAAATAAGGTATAATTATGAATTAACTCAAGATTGTTGCATAATGTTAAATCCACATGAACCAAGCAAGCTCAATAAAATAGGTCTCCGTTCTTACAGTTTTATAACTTTTTCTGCAAAAGGTCAATCCATTCGAAAAAAGATCTCTCCCACGGAGCGTTTTATATGTGCAAAGAATTTTTCCTTGCTAAAGTGATCAAACTATAAATAGCATTCAGCATTCATTCATCGAAGTAAGCATAATTGATTTTGAATTTATTTCCTTCTGCAAGTAAAATCAAGCTGTTTTATCCTACTTGTAACTTTCGCCTCTTTAAGTGAGCCTTCAGTTTCGGAATACTGGTGAGTGCGCACATCTGGTTTGGTAAAAATATTGCCAATGAGGAATGTATTGGGCGCCAAAAGAAAGTTTTCTTTTATCCAGACTATTTGCAGCTTCAAATTAGTTGAAAAACCAGATCTTTCGTGTTTGCAATAGCAAAAAACACTTTTAAGTCAGATTATTAAGTAAAGGCGCTCTCGAAAATGCGATACTTTTGTTATCGACGATGCGAATCTATTTTGGCGAGATAAAGTTCCCACTTGGAAATGGCATAGGTGTCAATCGAAAAGTAGCCATCACAAATATTATATCTAAGCATTTCGTTAGGCAATATTCCTAACGTGTGTAAAGAGATTACTTACACGTTAGATTAAGAATTTGCGCAATTGCCTATAATTTACTTGTACACATCTGTTAGGGTTAATACACAACTTTTCCACCCGGAACCTCACTTATTGTCTTACACATTTATAGTAAACTTGCATTAAAGTGGTTTAAAAGGTCGATAAGCTAACCAATTTGGACCACAGTTTACTTATACTAGTGCTATCAAAGTAAACCAGTCTGCTTTGTATCGTCATTCAACTTTCATATGATGGCCAAAAGGGGGAAGTTGTCTTGGTACCCAGTGGAAACTAAACCTTTAACTATGGACCATGGCACACGTTGTTCACACCGGTTAAATGTTTACAAAAATGCCCTTTAAGGTGTGGACTGGAAACCGTCACCATCGCCGGTGGTAGCGTTACTGATTGGCGTGTTTTGAAACACTGAAAGCACAGTATTCCGGCACTTCATAAACGGCGCTTAAAGTCGTCTAATGACACAAATATCAGCAGATTGTTTGCCTTCATTAACCAGGAACACCGTTAACGCGTCATGAATGGCAGTGTGGATGTGAATGTCCCACGAAAAGAGGTCTGACCACTGGTGACAATAAACTGCAATACCTCCACGGTAGTTTATCTTTCCAAGGGGTACAAAATCGGAGGTTACACTTTGATAGGAATGAATACTGAAGTATTGCCACTGTTCACTAACTCACAGTTAATTGTGACATTCACATCCGCCCTCTTCGAGACACCAGTATTGTGTGCAGTCTCACAGGAGAGTTTGGCATAGTGGTAGCGTCGGTTAATGTTAGGAATTGTGAGTACGGCTTTTAGCTCCCCATTAGTGGAAGTCTCGTAGAAGCTGGTAGGCACGTCCTCGGTGTTGACGATGGTCTGAACGAAGTCCTGTGAGTGGAAAGGCAAACCCAAAGGGATGCGTTGCAGTGGTGGCAGTGCCGCTTGTAGAGACGGAGGAAAGTGCCAGCGCCAGAAGAGGGCTCCCACAGGGTGCCCCGGAGGTTTCGCCACGCATTCCGCTTGCAGTTGAGTTCCTTCTTTAAAGGTTCCGCCGTCAAAATTGTCAAGGATGGTAATTATTGGAGGTCCCGGTGGCACTAAAGTGCGGCAAATTATTCTTTAAACTTTTTACAATTGGAATTAAGCTTAATGTATAATATAACTTCAAAGGTGGTTACATCCTATGCATGATACTGTAATACTTTGATCGTTTGTTTAACCTTTCGTTTTGGTCTCCAGGGCATTCAAGGCTCAGCTTTTGTACTTCCACTGAGTGGTATGGCCTCCAGATCATGCCAGCATCCCCTTATTCCTTCTGTACATCATAAAGACATGTTCTGTCCTAATAGTGTCTTTCCTTTTCAGGCCACTCTCGACGCGCCCAAACCGGTGGCAGCGAAAAGCGCATCCAATCATAAAGCCACTCAAAAGGATCGGGGGCTATGTGATACTTCGATCAGTTGTTTAACTCGCCATTTTGGTTTCGCGAGCCCTTAAGGGCTCCCCCGTTGTTCTCCCATTGGGCGTCATGGCCTCTGGGTCATTGCAGTAACTCCCAGACCTTCTCTGCTTCGGCGATACAATTTCTGCCCAAGCATTATACGTTTTTTGGTCTTCGAAGAAGACTGGGGGCCCCATATTTATATTCTGCGCATGGTAGCGCCTGCTTTTCATCTCACCACCTATAGACAACAAATTATTCTACTCTTTTTTATCTACCTTTCATCATCTAGGTATGCTCCTGTTGCGCGTATGCTCAGGTATCAAGCACTTGTTTTTTTCATAGAAGTGAGTCAATTAGGAAATATGAAATCATTCTAGCCCTATTTGAAAAATTACAAATGAAATGTGACTATGATACCATTTGCGCTGTTTTTTGGAAATGCCAAGCAAAATCCCAGAAAAAAAGTTAATTTAGTGATGCGAGGTCCTGATAATGCCGAATGGGTTTTTGGGTATTCGTGCGGAGTTGGAGAGACACTAAGCAGGCCCGAGGTTTCCACTTCCTCAACTTCGTTGGCGCACTCTTCACCTCGCTCCATGGTCTCCATCCCCTATTTCAGTAGTGAATCGTCGGTTCCAATTCCAAAAGCCGAAGGTTGGGCAAAGTTTTACACTCTATTACAAAAATGTTCCCTTTTCTGTGAATCGGTAAATCAAGAAAAATTTTGACATTCCTGGTCATCTTCAGCAAGAACTGGGGTTTGTAGCGATACGAAGTCCCGAAAAACCCTCGAATAGCAAGATCCCCCAATGGCAAGTGAATATCCTCTCATCCACTAATTTCTCCCATCCGCGGGTTATGAAGTTCTACACTTGCATTTCGTTGTTGATGGGTTTTACTCTTCATTCCTCGGATGATTCACTGTACCAAGGTAGCCTTAAGCGTTCCACACTTTCGCAATCCTTCCCTTATCCAGGTTGTCTCATGTCTTAATTCCTTTCCAAAAGCATTCAGTCTACCACTTTTCATGATGATCTTAGTTACTTAAATAACTGTTCACCGTTCATACTGGGAAATAATGCCACGGCGGGCTATAACAATATCAATTATATTAGGGGGAAGGCAGGAGGCCTTGTTAGCCAATCTGCGAAATCGTCACCCGATGGAAGAAGAGATTAATTCCCCGAAAATTTACGGTTGCTAATTTTTGTACATACCAGCGCAGCGCGACCGGATCCTCCGTCCGGGAGATGGAGGCGGCGGGGAGCAAGGCTTAGGTGCATTTATTGCTTACGCATCCGGTCAAACAGCAAGATTAGATAATGTGGGAGAGGGCGAGCCCAAGGGCGAGGGCAAGAGCAAGAGAGGTGGACCATACTACTGCAGCAAGAGACGTAGATCCGAGTGTACATCAGATGAACAAATTAAATTATAAAAGTGACCATAAATTGCCCGCTAGTTGGTGTGAGATAACCAGCGGAAGTATAACGAAATTGTAACCAAGTCGTTCCGAAGGGGAAAGAGAAAAAAGGATCACGCTCTTGTCACCTAACCGCCGCAAAAATAAGTGAAGAAATGAATCAATTCCTGAGTCTAGACTCCGCTCCACGGTTAGACTAACCTGCATACCTCTCATATTTCACACGGAATTCAGGTGCTGATAAAGAGTAAACCTTAATTCTAGGTTGAGAATCGAGAAATAGCGCAAAAATGAAACAACTATTCCGTCGTGGCAATTCAAATATATAGCAACTCATTCATTTACATCACCGCCGCTTGAATGCCAAGTTCGACGATGTGTGGTTTCCCAATCCTCCTTTTTGGTCCTTAGAAATCATTTACACGTATTCTGTTATTTAATCCGACTCCATGCGCGATCTGGCATTTGAAACATCTTGGATGGTGGAGGAGATTAAAATATCTGAGCTTATGACCTTTAAAGTGGCTTGTCGGGACTACTTAGATTGGATGGAAGGTATGCTAACATCCAATTTGCTAAAACCAACTTATTGTATACCATTCCTTCAAAAGAACATTTAGGAATCACCGGATTTCGTTTAAATATATATAAATAAGAAAATAACGTTAGAGGTCATTAATCGCGTCAATATGTCATGCCGAGTAGGTGCTACTAACTACTTACAAGTAAGCCCGGGCGTAACTCACCGTGGACATCAATAAGGGTGGTAGTACGCAGAGTTCTCGCCGTCACATCCTCACGACTCAAAGTTGCATTGTTGCTAACTTCACAGGTGAGAATGTTGCCTGTTTTGAGGTCAGATTTAAGCAGGGTCAGCATTGACCGATCCTCACCCGGATTTGTGATGATTTGAGGCAACCTTACTGACAATTAAAAAATCAGAACTTTTAATTATCCCTGTGAGAGGATTGTAAATACTCAATGGAAAGACCATATTTCACTTCAAATTTTAATGGTTGATAGAACCCGTGGGATATATACAATTAGCTATCTTGGAGTCGTCAAGGCTTTTGTATGTTTCAAACAGTTTATATAAATGACGGAAATTGTGCTGTAGATTAGTTTAATTTCCTTAAAAGAGTGCTAATTGGCTCATCAATCACCATCTGTTCACTTATTTGAGGAAACTAATCACTCATTCTCTCATGCAAATGTACACAATGTGTGTATTTTCATTAGGCGATGAAGCAAATGGGGCAGGGGACTTTTAAGGTAGCCACTTGGCTTATGTAGCTAAGGCTCATTTGTACGGAAGAATTAGAATATGAATAGTCGACCAAAACATTTATCCTCAACACTAAACATCTTGTGTTTCATTAGTCTCGATGAATGGCGATTCCTGTTGATAGCTGCCATTTTAGTATGAGGGTGTCAGGTGCTTTGCCACTCAGACATCTTCTAAATCACCCTTTTAAGTCAGTAAAACTGCCCTGGAAGTTAATTCTATCTGAATGAGTAAAAACATGTGAAATTCGCGCTCCTGGTTACCGATTTAAATATGGATCTGAACAGTACAAGGTAGGATAGTCAATGATAGGAGTCGACTCATCCAGCCATCATTACAATTCACCGAGCCAAATAAATAGCTCTAACGCTGAATGGACTAAAGAATACCTCGTTTTGGCATTATGCGTCTGGCGTAACCACACCGACCATGGAAACAGACATGTATGGCAGTGCATCTCATTATGCAATTACTTGGAGGCTATGTACATGATGTCGGAAAATGAGGGCTTAACACCGTGGGTACAGCCTTCATCATTCGGGACTAAATAAATTCTCACAGAAGTCAGGTTCCGCATATGATTAACCTGATTTGCTTATTATACCGACCGATTTGGCAGCAGTTACGGTGATGCTTCCAAAAGCGGTGGTCGGCACTATCCAATTGAGTTAAACTTGAGTGAGTTATGGCTATGAACTACCTAGGGCGATAATACCTCGTGAGTTGCGATGGAAATTTTAAAATTACTCTCGGAGCTATAAATCCGGATGAAAGCGACCAGGTCACATGCCAAAACTGTGTCATTTGCATCTCATTACGCACCATGGCATGGTTAATGGTACCAGTGGCCGGCTTTTCAGTGTGTGCTTTGTTTTTGGCCATGACAGTGCTCTCTGGGTGTGAGTGTGATTATGCTAATCACAAAGTAGTAATGACCATTCATCAATGCTACACGGGTACCCTGTATGTCAACTGGAGCTCCCCTCAATCGCGTGCCTCCTCTGAACTTAGGATAAGCAATAGGACAAAGACGGAGTAGATCAGCGCCTCCTCGACGCTCCTCCTACCATAGGGCCAATCGAGTTTTTCTCTAGCTCTCTCAGTAGAGACGCCTTTGACTACTAAATTTGAAGCGTCGCAGAGAAGACCGCCAACCAACACACTTGGATCGCGAGAGGGAACGCTGATGACTGCCATCAATGGCGTTATGGCCTAGATGAATGACCACACAAAGAACGCATTTGGTCATTTTGCAAGTGGCAATTTGGAGTTTACGCGACATTAAAGTTGATCAGATAGTTTAAATTCACTGAAATGTGGGTGTTGAATTCAATGTAATGCATTAATTGCATGGTTAAGGCACGCTAGAATTTCCCACCGGATGGTATTTAGGGGGTGAGGAATCACAAAACCTATGGACTCCCAGAGGACTTAAGGTAACTACTACGCATGCGAACTACGCGTCGGAAAAGAGGTAAACAAGCAAGCAGACAAATCAAGAATACCAGTTGTGTTGAGCCTGTTTACTTCACCCTCTTTAACCCTTTAAATTCATCAATGTGTTCTTCCTCATGACATCCAAAAAAGATGAAGTGTCCAAATAATGCGAACCGTGTAACCTGTAATTATATGAGCTTTACATGCTCTTTCCAGTCTGAAAGAAGACCCTATAGTAATTCAAATCTCCTCCTACCTGTGATGTAGAAAAATTGGCCTTGATAATTTTAATAAATTACTTTCTCTAAATCAGTGTACTTTTGAGGGGTAATTTTTAAGAGCCGAGGGCAAAAGTACTCACCTGGAGACTTGTCATCCGTGGGCATGCTCTGCAGTAGAATGTCATTAAGTTTCCAGTAGAAATTTGGTGGCGGGATCCCGTTTGAGGCCACGCACTCCACGGTTATGGTCTTCTCTTCGTCAGATAGAGGGATACCGAGACTCCTGTCCTTTACCTCCTTGCCTAGAGCGAACAGTCTTGGCGTAGACGGCATCACTACGGTTTAAACAAAGCATACCATCAATCTACTTAGAAAGCGGTGTTTGGTCTAAGGAATAAATGAACGAATGAAGATACTTAAGTGTTAGATACCAGTAACTTGAAGCCACGTCTTTCTTCGCAGAAGGGGTTGGCCCATGCTGGGAGTAACCTGGCATTCGTACTCCCCAGTATCGTCAATAGTGAGATTTCTTATCTGTAAACCAACGTCACCTGTGTTGGGGTCACCTGGCATTGAGATGCGCTCGAAATCGGGAACGCTAGGATCATGACCTGTGAAAGACAATGAGGCAAATCACAACAAGGAGAGACCGTGAACATTCGGTGGGTGACAAAATGACATCATAATTGAATGTTGCACAGACACGAAATCTACCAGCGTTTGGATTAGCCACAATGGGGAGAATACAAGCGGGATGTTGAAACTAATCTTTTACGAAGTAAAACCTTAGCAATAAACCGCCTCAGCTGGAGTAGGTAAAGGTCTTAAGCCAAATTCTAGTGAAGACATCGCTTAGATGTGATTAAAACTGACAACTCTCTGCTCGCTCGCACCTAGGAGTAGGTTGTTAAAGCGCCATTGAGCTTTTCCACGCATATTTTCAACTACACAGTGAAGGAGGGCAGTGTAGCCACGTGGCAAGAAGTAGGCGGCATCGGGAATGCGACGAAAGCACTGCGTTCCTGTGGCCAATTCACGATCAGTACAGGGCTCAGACTGAAATCCAGCTGATTCTGCGACATGCAGACTCGCGAGTAATACTAGGAGTACAAAAGTGAGGTTCTAATGCTTTTGATATCATAAAAATTTCTTAAATCCAGCCTCATACCGTTACAACCGAGTAAAAATGGGTTTGGAAAGCATACATAAGACTAAATTTCTGAGTAAAAATTAGAGTAAATCACTACCCTGGATTATTTTTTATGCTGTGTGAGGTTGTTGGGTCCATCAATGCATTAAGTGAGAATCAGGAGGTTAATAGTTTATGATAATCATCAGTTGTTCCTTACTTTCTCTTTAATAAAACTTCCGTATCTCCCCGAGGCTATGGAAACAGCATACATGTAAGGTGTTATAAATTTTTTTCCGAAAAAGAAACCAATCAGAACAGGCTACTTTCTTTCGTAATTACAGAGCGTAATAACAGCTGGAGGTGACTAGACCTATTACTCCCTATATCTAGCCTCACAATCATTCTGGAAATTAAGCCCTGAGTACATTGAAATTCGCAGACACACCGTATGGCACAGGGAACTTCTCCGTAGTTCAGTTCATTTGTTTTATGATTTTTTTTGGCACAATGTACCAACAAAAGGTAAGCATGGCCTCTACCAAATTGCTTGCTTTTTATCAAGATGGCCATCTGCAGAGCTTTTGAAGACCATCCATCATTTGTTCTACTCACTCCAGGTCAAGCAAAATTGTCATTTCGCATGTGGTTAAAAACAGCTTTAGACAGTTAAAAGGTCACTTCCGTTTTCATGCGTTTCGGACGCTGAAAGTGAACTACCAATCACCTGTCAGTTCAATCGTTTGAAGTTTTAAACACATAAAAGGGATTAACAGACCAGTCAAATACAGACAGTATATGCCAAGATGGAGATTGGACATAGTATCCCTCAGTGCAATCCCATTCAGGACACTTGCGAAGGAGACCTGCATGAAAAGCAGAGATACTGAATAGGAAGTGATAAAATGATAAGAACCGGACTTCCAATTCATTCCAATATGCTTTGAAAGCTGCATTTATCTATTTCCCATGAAGTGTGCGCGTAGTTAATAGGTCCTTCAGGCAAACGGTTTTGCTGTATGACCAGCTTTAGCATAATCTTCAGTTAGAGCTCCTTGTTTGGACCAGTTAATCCAAGAGAGGTCAAAAATCGTTTAAGGTCAGAGCATTATTTTTGCTACAGTAATATAGACTTTATCATAACTGTTGGGCCATTGGACAAGACCACCCAGTTCGGCATGTCAGAAGTCTTTCCATTTTTTAAATTAGAAATAAAAGAATGACGTTTAATGTCGAGAGCATGGGGGTGTTACTGTAGAATAGCCTTGTCTCTGCTGCTCAGTGAACTTACGTTTCGTGATACAGGAGGATAATAGCAATGATAGCGATGAAAGTAGACAACTAAACTCCGGTAGTCGTGCATTTATTGTTATTAAAGAAGCCGTTGTTTATTACCAGACCAAGTGTGACTACAACTAATCAGCGATAAGTCATAAAAAAAACAAGTCTTTCAATCGACTCTTCTATTTACGACAAGTACCGCATAGAACGTTCTTTGTCGCCTCCTTCCCAAACCCCCCTCCCCCTCCTTGCAACTAGTCTGAAAAAATCACATTTAGGCGTAAACTATGACTTCTTCAAACGGGCATCGCTTTAAGAAAACAGTCATACATATGAAAGAGGCCAAAGAAGCTTTAACGTAAAAGCATTACAACACTTTTGAGGCTTTAATGAAAAGTGGGCAGAAGTTTGAAATGTGTCAAGACCTAAGGGTTTGCAAAATCATGGACTTGTAAAAATCCGGAGATTGCACAAAGGCTTATGACGCAACTTGATAATTAAAATCTGGACAGAGATGTTAAATTCACTAATCTGGGAAAAAAGGAAACATGAGTGGTAATAGTAAGGTTTGACTTAACTTTAGAAATGTTGGCCTGTGGCGGACTTAGGAAATAAGTAAGACAGTGATGCGCGGTGGTAATGACCTACCCCGACATTCAGTAATCCGATAAAGGAAGTGTCCGATGTGTGCTTGTCAAGCTATAGACTCCAGCCAATCATCGAGTAGGGGTTGTAGCATCATTGCGACCGTTAGCTGACTCTCCACCAATCATCACGTGGGTCTGTCACGAGAACCGCATGTGTGTGGACAATTAGCAATCCATCTGGACGCTGCCTTTGTGGAACCTGACGGCTCCGCGTCTAATTGTGTCCCGTTATCGAAAATCCAGCATTTTCTGGAGCTCTGACAATCTACTAAATCGGTTTGGAGGTGCAATTTTATGGGAATTTTAATTGTTAAATTATCACTTCAAACCCAAAATAGGAGGTTAGGTAAAGAATTTTGTTCAAGGGAACAATCAGTTGAACTTATTTGTTTTCTGGAAAAAAAAATAGTTAAATAGATCAAATTTAACAATTCCAAGTTTTTAAATAAAAACGAGTTTGAACATTGGTCTGTTTGTGCATTGTAAATACATCAAAACAATGCCCACAATTGGGAATCATTTACATCAAAATTTGATGGTGGGTAGAATGGTAGGCTTTGGGGCATTTTGTTATTGTGACTATAGTGTCTGGCACGGAGAGATACTTGTACAAACTACGGTGTTGATCACTGCCCAGTCGGCTGAATGCCAATGCGCTGGATGGAGAACAAAAGGATGTTCTAATTGGCGCGATTTTACTCCGTTGCTTTGACTCATTGTTTCTGGCCTTGTAAACACACTTTTAAGGTGTTTCCATAGCCCTTCGGGGATTTACTCTACAAGAGTCGTACTATTCTTTCCGGCGATCCATTCATTGGTTAAATCAGGTGTGCTTATAGTTAATGAACATTAAAAAATGCCCTCAGTAGATCAAATAAAGCATAGCAATAAAAGGGCCTTATCGAACGTAATACTGCTTGCATCGTCAGAATCAAGCCGTTTAAACACATTCTGGACCATACACTCTACTACCGCACCTTCTTCGAATGCTATAGGGCAAATTTTACAAAAAGGTTCTGTAATTTTGGAACCGGGTTTAGAATCGTAAAGTAGATAGAGTCGAGTTGTGACAAACTAAGCCTATATTTTAGGAGGGTTTAAATTAATAGGAAGGTACTACAAAGGTAGGCTGACTCACATATTTGCATTGTGATGTAAACAAACAAGCCTCAACAATTCATTTCAGCAAGTCATACCGAATATCGTACTCGCATTTTTTTTGCAAGATGCCATGGCATTATCACCTTTTCAATAGTTTTTAAGTGAAGCTTAGGAGTTGTTCAATTTCTAGATTAAGCTGAAAATTTCTTACTTACAAAACTATCACTTTAGTTAGTAGCAAACCGTGCTATTCCATTTTGCTTCGAGAATGAAAGAATGGAAAGAGTACACCCCAATCATGCAATGTTAAGGCCTGATAGTTCGTTACCATCATTACTGCATATTTCCAGACGAAGGATAATTTTAGAGGAAGCTACTACTTATTTTACGGGTAATTTCTAAGCGGTCAAATCAAACATTATTTGTTACAGGGATTTTTTATTCGGTTATCGAAAGTATGCATAAAAAATAGGAAATAAACAGTACTCAAAATTTTCTATTTTGGCTCAAAAACTGAGCGAATGTGCTTTCACTTACTTTAAAGAGCATAGAATGTGGCCTAAATGGAAGGTAATGTGGATGCATTTCAGGGATTTCTTATAAAACATGTTGATTAGGGGTTTAGTGAATAGTAAAAGTGAGCAGCTTGTGATAATCATCCCAGATACACTTGTAAACTGATTTAATTCAGGAAAATTAGCAGTTAATTTTTAAGTGGTTAAAAGATGTCTCCAGAACCAATTTTAAAGCTCCGATAAAAAAGGAAAACGTTTGCCAACGGACTTTGAGGGAAATTCTCTCCCCGCGAGTGAGATGCTTTACTGCCACGAAGATGGCGCCAAGTGCCGCTCCACTAGAGTTCCCTGAAGACAATAGAAGACAATACCTGGGCTGAATATGTACTGTCGACTTATAGAAGGGCTGAGAAGCTGCGAAGATGGTCCAAACACCAAGCCGTACTGCGAAGGTACAAGAACGGAGCCTTACAGTGGCCCATTACCAAAACTGAGGGTTAAATAAACAATTCAAGTATTACAATAGCAAGTTCCAAATGGCCAATTTTTTAAGGAAATCACTTCTGAAGCGAAATATCGGAATAAAAGTGACGAAATTCATGATTATCATGCCAAAAACAGTCGAACCTTTTCCCCACTTTTTTTGAAGGATAGAAGGTGGACAATGTTTCCTTCCAGCTAAGTTATTTCAGTCACAGACACGTAGACTCCTGACGCTATTGAGGAGTCCACACCAGACGCAGGATCGATTAATGTCCGCCTCATGATTGAATATTCCTTGGGGACCGATATGGCCATTTAATTTCGCCCCTGTCGTAATTCGGAAGGCCATTATACAGACGCATGATTCGCACATCCTCTACATCAGTTAGAATACACTTTAATAGACTCTCAGCATAAAAATTTGGTAGTCGGCTTTTAGAAAACAGAACCTTGACCTCTACTAAACAGCCTTATGTCCATTAACAGCACATGTAAACGAGGAGATGAAGGAAATCCACCTTGAAAATAAGTCGTGGGGATGGAATACTTTGGACTTTCTTTATGTGCACTTATTTTTTGCATTTTCTGAGAAAAGGGACTGTAAGGTAGCCCGTAGGTTAGAATAGCGACTTCATCAAAAGTAAACGGTTTTGCCATCACGTTTAACTATTCCCTTTCAGCACCTTTACACTACACTTTCCGTCATGAACATGGTGGACGTATTTTGAAATACCACTCTCCAGGTATTTTTAAAGTCTTACTAGTTTAGGGCATCAAATTAGCCTATTTGAGGCCTTTTTGATGGCTGGTATCCCACCCTCTTCCCCACAATCTTATGTCTGCATTAGCTGCTAAATTTGAATTTGGACATCTAAAAAGGATACTGGAGGCTTCTGGCATTGGACATTTTGGTCATATTATTCTTCACTTTTTGGTTTTCTCGAAACATGAGCATAATTTTTCGCTGCCCTTGGTGATTTTGTGACAAGCCTTAGGCGTATTATACAGCGTTTTTTGCTCTTAAAACTAAAGGTAAGGTCAATGCCTTAGAAATGGAGTCATTTATGAAATAGTGCTCTCATAATTTTAGCACCACTTGTATGTGTTGCTCCAATTTTCTTACTTCAGGCTGGCGTCACATATATGTGACATATTAGCTTCTGCACTTTATGATAGTCATGGTCATCAAATCATTCGCAATCAGATTTAATGAGCTTAAGATGATAAATGGGATGTAATATACTTATGATATGAAAAAGAAGGTCAAATCTTTCAATAATTAATGCTATTTGGTGTCATGTTGGAGGAGGAATCTATCTGGACTGCTGCAGCAGATTTCTTTCAAAGCGCTTGGAGACAAAATAATAACTATGAATTGAAAGATTTTTGTCAGTTTTCTATTTAAGGCGTGCTTCCTCACTGATTGTCGAGGAGGCGTAATCTAAACTGTCCCTAGAGGTACGCGGATAACCGTCTACAGCCTGTAGTATAACCTCGGGCTATGGATAATTTGCTCGACTTTGAGCATAGTAATTCATTTTCGTAAAGAAATGTCTTTCTATTGTCGTTTGTATAATAAACGGTACTTTAATTCCTAATGTTTTAAGCAATAGAGATTAGTGCTAAAATGGCTGCCAAATTGACGGAACTCAAAGATAACTTGATGTGTAGCCATGAAGTGATTCAATTTTGTGTATATTTGTAGCCCCCAAAGACATCTCTGAGCACAAAAGAGGACATAATACTAGGACAGAATGTGTTTCGTCGACGGACAGTGGTGTTTAAGGCTACTAGCATAGCCTGGAGGCCGGACCACGGGTCGGAGGTACAATGGCGGAGCCCCTCCAGTGACCCGTTACTAAAACCGAGAGTATAACATAGTCACTCGTATTTTGAACTTTGTCTCCGGCGCTCTCCTTCGCAAATTCGTTTGGCTTCAGCCGTCACAACATCGATGATGGTGTAAGAAAATCACCCGTGAACCAACCGCACCGGCCATCGAATTTGCGCTCGATTGAGAGAATATTTGACAGCGGCTTCATTGACCCCTCTTAGCAAATCTACGGAATTTAGAGTTTTGTCCTGTTTGAGAACTGCTTATTAATAATGGGGAATGTGTTAGCCATCTCGTATGCCCATAAATAGTGGGGAGAGTCCTTTACTTAGGGACGGGGTTAAGCATTGTGTCTCGGGAATGAGGCTTACCAATTTGTTCTCAATTTATTTGTTTTAGTTCTTCTAGCAAGTTGTAAGACACAAAAAAATGGGTTTAAATTTCTTTTTTTTAGATATGACCTGATGTAGCTCCTTTCTGAGTAAATCCCAAGCTAGAAGGTTGAATATATCTGTGACGGGTTCAGCTTATCCCTCTTCCACCTCCACCTTCGTGCCCTTGGAACGGGCAGACTGGTGAGGAGAGCACATCTTTTATTAGGTAAGTATTATGAACGTATACAGAGAATCGAGGCTGCGGGGGTTCGGAGGTCGTAATCACCTCAGGGATCAGTGACGTCCGCTCTGTCATGAGGTTGTTGCATACGGACTGCTTCCTACCTAAAAAGGGCATTCAAACAAGTACGAATTACATGGCAATACTTCGATTGCTTGTTTAACCCTTCCCCTTGATCGTGTGAGCACTGAAGTCTCCGCAATTGTACCTTCACTGGCCTTCGGGCCTGGCCAGTAGCCCCCCAGCCTTTCTCTACGTTGGCACTATATATTCTGTCCGAGAAGCATGCCTTCTTTCATTTTTAGGGAAGTCTTGGGGGTGATACAACAAATTTTGCAAACCACATTTCAGTTATGCCTATTTATGTCGGGACAGAGTGGCCAAATCCCCCAGCCTACCTCCAGTGGGAGGAAAGTCGGCTGTTAGTTAATGCAACCAAAGCAATAAACAAGCGATTTTAAACCCACATAAAATAAAATTTTATAGAATTACCTAGCGCCAAATTTTCGACCTCACAGTGGCCCTTGTTTTCAGGCAAATGGTAGAAATTTTCCCAGTCTTCTGGAAATGATGTTTGAAAATAAAGTAAATGTTACAAAAGTTTTTTTGTTTGGTTTCGGTTTGTGTCCATTATTTGAGACGGCATTTCTCCCCACGAAAATGCGAGCATTTTGAAGCAATGTTCCAGAGCCATTGTTTCAGTTCTCCAAAACAACCGCTTACGGTGAAGAATTATCGAGTGCTTAAAATTATTAACTAACTAGGCTAAATTACTCGAAAAGAGGTAATTTTGATACTCAAAGTTGAAGTGATCATTTCCACAGTGGTCTACATTGGCTACAACTGGATGGTTAGGCGATCTATGGGTAATTCAGTGTTTATAACGCACACTTTAACTCTGCTATTAAATCACAAAGTTTTAGTTTGTGTCTTGGTATGTTTTCGACTTGTAGGTCAAAGTGCACGGAGTATCTAGCCTCCTCAGGCGGCGCTTCCTTTTTAGTGATACGGCTGGAAGGCCATGTCTACAGAAGCCTTGTGCCCTAATGCGAAGTCGCCCATAACGATATGACTTATTACTATGGCAGAGGAGACTCGTGGCACTCCATATGGATCTGCTACCTGGGTGGCTGCCATTTGGATAACTACCATGGTCTCTTTGACTAGCTACCGAGTCGTAGCTTCACGGAAGGAAGGCATCTGCTGCAGATGCGTCTAGTTCAGGTAAGTTCCAAATTTCGAGTTCTACACATCGCAAATGGCCTCTCAGAAATGTTAATTATACATCCCCGGGCAAAAAATATATTTTGACAACAGGTGATTTGCCTTTTTGATTGTGGTTTTGGATAAATTTAGCTAAGAAAAGTGATTAGAAAAATAGATGGAATATCTTTCGGACCCTGCCACAACCTACCAAATGAAATTGTCTCCGTTACTGTTGATTTTGCACAGAATAAGATATTCAGAAATCCCGACTACAACTACATCATGTACAACCACCAGTAGGTAGTCTCCTCCTTTCGTACAAATCCATCGTCATCTATGGTTCTCACGGTTAGTTACATTTAATACACGGACTAGTCGCGACCGAAGTAGACGAGTGACCACATAGGAAGTCGAGGCAAGTGCCCAAAATAAGAAAGGAGCCATGTGATGATTCCAGATTTTGTTTAAATATACTTCAACTACAGGTAGTACTTACGTTTGGGGGTTCGTCCCCCGGTCCGGAGTGCTACAGTATGATGTGCTAACTACACTTCTAAATATTTACTCTCACGTTTTTTTATTCACAAGCTAACGAGCTAAATTGCCAAAATCAGATCAGTAGGTGGTTCTATTATTTGATTGCTATTTTCTTTGAAATATACTATAAAGTATTGGCCTTGTCTATGAAGGTACAAGTGAAAATAATGAAAAAAGTGGCATTTCTAATGCTGTTTGGAATGGTAAGACTAGTTTAGACACCTGGACGAATGCACCTTAATTTTTAGTCTACATTAGTCAGTCGAAAAGACTCGGCTTTTCTAGAAAATGTGCCGGCCAAGAAGCTGTAAAAAAATGCAAGCTACGGTTGTATGCAAAGGGGCAGCTTTCAAGTAAAATTTGGCGAAATAATTAAGTTTATTGTAACAATTATGAACAGGGAAAAAAGCAGTTGGAAAAAAACCACATACTTGAAGAAATACAAACAAAAAACACCAATAAGTTGTTTACAATGTCCTTTATTGGAAAATTAGCTATTATAATAAGATTTAATTCTATGCAATACTACAGTGCAAAAACGTATTTGCTTGAACACACCTTAGGATGAGTACTGGTCAACTTATGCACTCCACGTGATGGAGTGGACGCCTTTAACCTCAAGGGAAGGGAGAACTAACTTCTAACTCGTCAAAAACTTGACGACCTATAAATCAACAAATCACCGTTTAAATGAAGGGTATTATCTTCTACACACTTGCCTTGTTCCGTGGGTTGAAAAACAAAAGAAAAAGTGGATCGATCATGTGGTAATGCTGGAAAGGTGTTGAGAAGTTTTATGAATACAACAGGAAATTGTGAGGGAGCACGGAATAATAACAATGATAAATGACAAGCAAAGTCGTGTTTAAGGACAAAAGTCACTTTGCCACATGATTGGAAACTAAAAATGTTGTTAGAGTGCATTTTGGTTGGTATCGAAATGTTTGTTTTTAGTTACCGGTTAGAAATGAGTAACTCTTAATTGTGCAAAATTCTAAATGCGTCAGAAGGCCTGTATCACAAATCTATCAAGCGAAAGGTGCAAATCAAAAGCTTGTTGCCTTTTATTATTATTTATTATTATTAATGACCAGAGCGTTGCTATGTTTTAATCGAATCACCGGGTGTGCGGTTACTTTGGAGCCATCGGCCCCTACTTCACTACTTCGCGTCGATGTAGGGTCTTGCACATACGTTTTTGTTTGACCCATATTTCAACTGGCCTCCAGAGTTATTGAATTTTACTTACGATCTGATTTCCTAATGAAGCTGGTTCTTCTGTGTTCGTCCTCTGTTACCCATTTTCAACAAAGGTTTGCTTATTTTGCACTAATGTTTTCCTTAGATTCTGTTCATGGCTCATACCTTCAAAGTCGTAGACAACAAAGACGCGCATGGTCAAATCCCTGTCATCTACATTGAGAATAATTATTGTCCAGACACTGCACAGCACTCGCCTCCATCTGGTCAAAACCTACCCCCCTTCGTATCGGACAGTGACTTTTTGCTTGAACATGGCCTCCCCTTTCATCATCAAGTTGGTTCTGTCTTTATTGATCTACTGTAGGCCTTTCAATTCATCTATTGGTTTAATGGATTAACTCCGTTGAGGCAATTTCTTTTCACTGCTTTGTCCTTGCGACATATAAGTAGCGATTATTTGAAATTATTGCACGCCGTGACAACTGATAGATTATCTGAGAATCACCAAAATATCGGTGTTGCAGTAAAGGCGAATGATATTGGTAATTTTTTTGATTGTGTAATCTTGTCACTCCCTCTCTTTAGCTCATCTGAATAACCTGGATGTCATGTCCGATGATTTCTGTGCCACTATTCTGGACCTTCTATTGTCTCTAAATATCGCAAAAGACCGAGGTGCCGATTTTTCGAAAATCCACGATAAATACCTATCGCTTGTTGATAAGGCCCTAGAAAACACCTCACAACAAAAGCCAGTATTTGAGGATGTATTCGACTCGCCAGAGGGACAGCTTCTAGTTGCCGCGATGACCACACCACTCTTTACTGTGGAAGATCGTCATTGGCTGCAAAAGAATATCAAGTCCCGATATGAAGCTTGCGCTTCCTGGCAGTTGACGGGTCTCCTGACTCTTGCAAACGATCTCCTTGAAGCATTAGAACTTTACAAAGACACTACTGAGGGCTGTGAGTCGCTTATTAACTTATTTTTTGCCTTGAATCGTTTATACCACTGCGTTTTATTTCTATTTACAGTTTTATCCTCACCGGGGTCGTCTCTCTCACGAAGTTTCCGTAGCTCCAGCATAAACTCACCCTTACAATTTCTCCCACGTTCACTTTATCCCTATCCCAACCGACGTCATCACAGTTTAGTTCCTCCTGCCAGTGAAAACTCCCTCATTGTTCCTTCCCTGTTCACTTCGCCACATCCTCTTAGCTCTTCCTCCTCACCCAATTCATCGGGCTTTGTGTCTGGTAGTGAATCCATGTACCAAGGTTTAAATGAAACCCTGGCGGTGAGTTTGCGTGGTAATCGACTTGCTACCCCATCGAACAGCCGGTTTTATCTTCTACGACGTAAGTCTGCCTCACCGTATACGCCTCAGGAGGGTGAGCTAAAGGAGGAAGATGATACCACCTCCACGGCTGCTTGTAGTTCTACCTTACCCGAAAAAAGTGGTTCTTTTAGCAGCTTCATCGTACCTGATAAGGGTGAGATCTTCCTCAAAGCGGAGTCTTCCGAGGTTTGTCTATCTGCCAAAAGTTCTCCCCTTCCCTTCAATCTGCATGCATGGACTGATGTATTTTTGGGATTTTTAGGAAGTTTTTCATCATTCAAAGGAGTACCTAAACCCATTATCAGCGCCACAGGAAATTCTGAATATTCCATGCTTATCTGTGGCGAGTCCGCCTCCTTACAAGCCCTCTTCCACAACTGGCCTCGTGAGTAGTACCCCTTCACCGAATAGCTGCGACGTTGCTAACGAGGTGAGCTGTCGACCTCCCCCTACCGCACGCAATAGTCCGCCTGAAGAATACAAATCGCCACGAGCCCGCCACAAAGCTGTTTCCATTCAGGACAAACAGGTTGAGAATCCGGACATGGCTCGTAAGTACTCATTCTACCTAGAATATATTGACGTTGCAATAAATCGAAGCTAGAAAAGCATATCATACCGCCTGATTTATTCCTGTGGATACTAAGAGGCATCTTATCTGTAAGTAGTTTTATCATATGCGTACGGGTTTTGAAGATCAATTACACTATTGGCACGAGGGCCAAATGTGAGGAGTTTGAAAAGGCATTCTTCCACCTACCAACTTTTATCTTTTATTGCAGAACTTCCTGGTTGGTTGAAGAGTCTGCGTCTCCACAAATACATTGGCCTGTTCAAACGCCTCACGTACTACCAAATGCTTGGGATTACAGACGAGTGGCTGCAGCGTCAACATGTTACTCAGGGTGCACGCAACAAAATCCTCGTGAACATAGCGAAACTTGGTACACGCTCTGCAACACTGACCAGCTTGGAGGTGCGCATTGAAGCCACCATCCTGAACCCATCCACTCGATGGTCCAATCTTCGGGGATGCCTTAGCGAATTGCATAGCATTCTGCTGACGCCGTTCCCCCCTGCAACAGCTAATCAAACCACTACCTCACCCCACTGCCTGTCCTCCGCCTCCTCAGCTGAAGACAGCGCATCAGCGACTGGAGCACCCGGTACCAATTTTATCTTCAGCAGTGATGTGGAGGACTATGTAGAGGATGAGGGAGCAGAGGATGACGAGAGGGAGTTTATAAACTTTCGTTCCACCACTGGGAGTCTGTGCCAGTGTCCCTACACAAACTCCGATACCTGTCTCTTCAATCGTACTAATGCGTTGGGCGGTGCTCACTCCCCGAAGCGGCCCAAGTCTAGTGAAGGGGGAACCGCGACGACGATGAACTTCTTTTTCCCGACCGTGCCCTCAGGGACGCCGTGTGGTTCATCCGCAGTGCCGGATCCAGCAGAGATTGTTCCGAAAAATAAGGACTTGGGGGACGAGAATTTGCCGGAACAAATTATGCGTTGTTTGAACCATGGTATGTTTATGGTTTCATTCCACTGTTACTATGTATATGCTTGATCTTACAAACGTAATGTAACGACTTGGCTAAAAATGAACATTCGCATGAGCTTAAGTTAATTTAATTTATTGTAAAGACGAGACATATAGTTATATCTACTTCTCGAATTTTAGCCTTCAAAGCGTTGCTCTGTGACCCGATAGATGACGACAACTATGGATTCTTTATGCAACTGCTAACGATTGTTCTTGAGCACTCAGTAAGTTTTAAACGTCTTTTCATCATCAATTGATACATTCTCTACTGGCCTCACAAATGAGTACCATTTGTTCTTTGGCATTTATGATGGTTACGCTAGGTAACACCGCAAACAGATTGGTAAAGCTTTGAACAGCAAAATGCATATAGAATATTCTTGATCCATCAGTGGTTAGGTTTGTTTGGTTGTTTTTTTTGAACAGCACAAATTTTGAATGAATGTACCTTCTTTCTCTTGGATCATTATGACTTTCAAATGGGTGTATTTTTGGGCAATGCGACTGAGATGGGAGTTGTTTGCACCTTTCCCTGTTCATGAGTCAGCGCTCCTGCGCCCCTATTGCAGTCTCCCGCTTCCGTGCCTGTTTGTATGTGTGCCTCTGTGTAAATTTGCAACCATCGACCAACTTTGTGCAGCGAACGAGTAAGCGTCCTTCTCCGGCTCTCTCTCCAGTGCTTAAGACGGCTCGCTTCCGTCCTTTGGCGCTGTCAACTGGCACTTTTTTGCCAACTATAGACTAGCAAATTATAGTCTTAACAAAATTCTTGGCACATTTTCTTCAATATCACTCCTTTAATGTAACGCTAATTTGCATATACGTTTAATGCATATTTTCAAGTTTATTGGGGTTAAAGATTGTAGCGGAGATAAGGGGACTGTATATGCACGTACCTCTTTGGCACTACGTCATCAGGTAGGTTAGATTTTGATTCAAAAGTTTGTTCTGTGTAATTAATCATTTGCTAGTACCTACAAACTGTTGGCGGTGCATTTTTGCAACAGCAAAATATTTGCGCCCACGGGCAGCGAATAGGCCTGAGGTGTAGGAGGTAGGCGGGATGGTTGAGGGGGCGGGGGGGAGGGGGGAGGGAATGAAATTGGCGAAAGACGTCTTTTTCTACACCTTGCAAGTGGCGATTCCATTTGCCGTGTGAAAGGCTCTAAGCTTGGCTACTGTAGTTGAAACTCCTTTGCAATGACTCCGAACACGAATATTTTTAAACGTAATGCTGGCATTTATTTGATGCGCAAGTAAGTGGCATATTCACACTGGATCATCTATTTATCATTTACTTAAGTGTTTAAATAACACGTCACTCTTTTTAATCTTTCGTTTCCTTATTTTGCCTTCAAATTAACTATTTCTAGGTTAAATTTGAACCAAATTATTGTGTGTCCTATTTCTTGTGAGTATTAGAAGTGGTGCTGCTTTTTTATTCAAGTCCTTCAGTCAAGCACAAAAGGACCAGGTGACAATCTGGCAGAAGCAAATGGTCGATTGTTTGGGACCTGCGCCACCACCCCCACGTCGCTCATGCCACCATCATCGTCACCATCACCGGTCCGCATCACGTCGCTGCTCTTACCACTATGTCCAGCCTCTGGATCGTGGGGGATCGCATTCAGCGCCCTACACACCTCGTTCTAGCGTGGGATGTGGCGGATTCGCCTCGCGACCGTACTTTGCCTCTCCGATGCGCCTTCCATACCTCCACCATCAACAACAACAGGCACACTCTGGTGTTCCCTTCGCCTTCTTCCAAGCCTCCCCGGGGTTTGGCGGTGGTCCTGGTGCTCGCTGGAGTGGCGGCATGGTGCGTGGCCGCAATGCCGAGCCTGACGTCTACCAACACCAACAGGGGCCCTCGCGGCCTGTGTTCCACGAGCAAGCGGCGATGCTTGTCGCCACACCTCAACAGCGCGTGGCTAGCATGGACAGCCTTACTGTCTCCACCCCCTACGGGCTCATGGAACCACGAGCGGTGAGTTGTTTGTGCTGCTTAACTCGTTTCGGGAACGGGGATGATGCTTGCTTTGTATGTCACTTCCAATAAAGCTCAGGATCTCGGAGTGTCTCTCACGTGCATTTCTCCTGAAGCAAAATTGGCGTCACGTGATGCATCTGGGCTCACTGCCGTGTGTTGGGATTGCGAAATCTTGTCAAAATGGAAATGTGAAATTTTGGCATTTGCTACCAAGAATCACTTAGGTGGTATTTTTTAGTCATCGCTTATTAAGGGATACGTTTTCTTTTCAAACCATAATTTAAGCAAGACAATTTCACATAAGTGAAGTATTTGCTAGCGTACTAAATGTGTATTCTTGTATTAGCTGCTATTTATGATGTATTAATGTAAGCGCTGGTTCCTAGTACGTTTAGATATTAGTGTAACTCTCTATGACTTCCCTGAAGATGAAGGAAAACATAATACGAGGGCAGAATATAGAAGGCTACGGGCTATAGAGGGGGCTACTGACGTGGTTCGGCGGGCAGGCCGCCCAGCAAACCTGAGAGTGCTAGACTTCCTGTTGTTAGTAAATCTTACTCTTACATTGGACGTTTCTATTTTCGTGTTTATAACTATTTGAGTGGCATGGATACAACGTCAGGAGAGTAGCAAAGTAGCATTACATAGTTTCCTGATTGTGTGTCATGTACGTGATTGCGTTGGTTAGTATTGTTACGCATTTCGATGTCGTTCCTTCATCAAGATGAGGTTTTAACTTCGAGTATGTTACAAGACTTTTATCCAACTAGACTCATCCGAATTAAGTATCCACTGTTATCATATTCTTTCTTAACCTGTTTGCACCCCGTAATGATTGCCGAACTGATTCCTTCATGTAGCAGTAATGGGTGCATTAGGACCACCAGATTGTGTCCAAATTTTATAAACGCTGTATCAAGTGATATCCACAGACATATCCTTCATCTATGGCTCTTTCTATCTCAAGATGAGCATAATCTACTAGAGCAAGAGTTATTTGTGTCATGAGATCCTCGTGACCCCAGTCTTTCTCGGCTCACATTATGATTGGTGACCTCGCCCTTCTTACCAAGGCCTTTAATCACGTGTCATACATTTGCTATTTCCATTGACTTTCTCTTTACTTTTTCGACCTATGGTACTATCAGTGTCACTTTGTTCAGGGTGTCAGAGCATGGTTGCGTAAAACCACCTAGCCTCTGTAGCTCCACCTCATTGTTGGCTTTAAATGATAAGTTACAGTATTTTGTACACCATGCAATTAGCAGAAATGTTTTTTCCAGTCGTTTAGTTGATTGTGTTCCGCATGTGTTCACATTTTTCGATATTCTTACACAACGTCAAACAGTAACAAAACGTCAGAAGACATGAGATGCTCGTTTTGAGGGATTAATCTGAATATACTCTGTCAGAATAGTTTTACTTTCCGGCCCTGGCAAGTAACTCAAGTGGTTACTGAATCAGTTTGAAATTCGCTTTTCGATTACTATCAAACGAATGATATGAAGCGAATGTACGGAATCCTCTATAATACCGAATAATAGGTATGTTTCTCCTCGTAAGGCCACTCACCAGTTCTTCACTCGCAATCGAATGATTTCGTACCACGACCCCTCGGGCAGTGAAATCTCCACCTCCGTATCGCCGTTTGCTTCACCAGAGCTCCGGTCCACAGGTTGCTTCGCTTTCATGCCGACGCTGGACGACAGTGAGGGGGGAAACGAGGGCTTCGCTGCAGCCGCCGTTGCCTACCTCCAACCCTCACCGCCACCTCCACATCCACCCCCACATCTCTCGGGGTTACCCCCCGTGATTCCAGATCAACGGCGCTGGCTCGCTAGTACCACGGCCACCGCTACTACCGTTCCTGCACCCTCTGCCATGGCGGACTACTCTACAGCGGAAATTAATCGAAATCTGGAACTTCTTACAGAAAAAGTCACGAAGTTGGCTATTGAGGGTGAGTTCCCGCTGTGATGCACGAACTTTTTATGGCGGAGGACAAGAAAAGACCAATTGCGTGATCATGATTGTGGCTTTTGGTAATCCTATTCCATCTGGTTTCTTCAATAACTTGCTGCCATAGAATTTCTTCCTCTCAGAAGGTCTGACCATTCTCCCAATATCATTTGAAGTGTGAGGCTTCGTTCTGACTAGATAGCGGTTATTCAAGTAGGTTGTTCCCTAACACCGCAGTGTAATTTGCTGAATCCATTTTGTAGCAGTCCAAAAAGCTGGAACGCTGCCTTGACTCACTGTGATTTTTATCCGACCTTAAAATTCCCCTTTCCGGAGCGTTTAGCCCATTCTCATTGCACAATGTTAATATTGTTTCAACATGCTCATCCATTTTGACGTGTGGTGCACCTGTACGAAGTATAAATCTTATTACTAGAAATGCATTTGCCTTTTGAACTCAATGGATGTGGGTTTTGTAAAAGAATCGGTCCGCGAACCTTTCGGTTCCCTATCGGAGCAAAAGTTGGATAAGTGGCCGGTATACGCTTCTCTCGCCCACTTTTCATCTTAGAGAATAAGAAACATGAGTCGGTGGAGACTCAATTGTGAGTTCCACCGGTCCTTTATATTCGTTCCTTCTCTAGGATATTTTCATGTTCAATTCTAGCTTCTAAACTCTTCAAATAGGTGTTCGATCAGCTGGTTATTGTTATTCGTATCTCTTCTAGAGGCTTGGAAATAGATTTGAGAATTTTTATTCGAAATCCAACCCTTCTTAGCTTCACCTGACTTAGAGATCTTGCAGATATCGAAACCGCTTGGATCACATTTCACTAAATGCGAGGTCAGTCTTACTCCACTTGAAACTACCTTTTATGCAACCCAAATTGTGAAATCAACTGCACATATTGGCTACTTTCGCTTGACCAACGCTTGAAAAATAGGGCGTGCTTTCTTCTTTCCCGTGAATTCTTCGCCCAACTGGATAGAATAGTTGTCGTATCAATCCGTCGATCACCGAAGTACAACCACGAAATACAGTTGTGTAATCCATCACCACCTTCACTAGAAATGCAACCGAGAAACTGTTCACTCTGTCAGGTCGTTTGCATTCACCGAGCCCTTGCTTCGGTGTCAACTTTCGCATACCGTAGTAATCGACTTAATCTACTACTTCACTTGTAAGTTCTAGTCGATTGTGTCGACTCAATGCCATTAAGCTTGTACTGACTAACAGAAAAGTGTCACAATTGCCATTTCCGACGTTTAACATTGTTTAAAGAATGAGTAAGGTAAGCCTCCCCTTTTTTTTCAGAGTCTGACTCACCGAGTGATTAGATCGCCGCTTCTCCGACCGATCAAAACGGCGTCTTTCGTGGGTCAAACAAACTCAACCATCCCATCCCAACTCCTCTCACTCTTTCCCCCCTGCATGAAGTGATTGCTCCCTCCTCTTCCTTCGTTCCTGCGGCTAGCCTCGCAGGCTCCCGACTTCCCACATCGGATTGTAGGCCACCCTTAACGTGTTTTTATGCAACTAGTCTCATAAAGCTGGACTTTGGTTTCTTGTCTCATTTTGAGAAGCACCATCACAACACAACCCATCAGGCTGTGTCTCAAGCTGGTCTTGTGCACTTTACTCGACTGTTTTGGCCCAGGCGCGGAGCATATCTTTTTTCCTCCCCCCTCTTTCTTGCTTTTTCTAATTTTTGTTTTTTTTTTTTTTCTCATCATTCTCGACATTTTTGGTGAAACGGACAGAGAGCTAGAACACTGCTTATTTATCGTGACACCAACTGTGCATCCTTACCATCATGTTTGTCATTGATGAAAACACTACTTACTTGTGAACCTGATCACGCGTCCATTCATCGTGTCTACCTGTTGTGCATATCAAAACGTTGTTAAAATCCCAATTATACTCTGCCAATCGTTTGTCTCTCGTCAGATCGGTTGGTATTCTGCCAAAGTGTCCAATAATCACTACAGATAATATGGGTATGAAATAAACTGCTGAGTTCCAGGTTCATGCTAGAAAAAAGGCAAATAACTTGTAACTACGGCTGTTGGACCGTCCGTAGACGATAAGACGCGTGCTCTCCCCTTCTGCAGAAGGGGAGTAGCTAGTGGCGTGCACAAGAAGCAGGAGAGCAACGTTGCACAACATATTATGAGCTGAAACGACAACAACTGCTCATTAAACTCTGTAATGATCTGATTTCGCAAGTGACTTCTTAATCACTCGTTTGAAGCCCCAATCTAGTAGCGACGTTTACGATCTTCTCAGCCTTGTACCGCTATTTTTCGACTGGTGCACCACTTTCTTCTTTCATTTATATTTACGTTTTGTGTGCTTCCCACCTCCCTAACGGAATGAGTGTACAAATTAACTGACGGACTTATTTTGTCGACTATCTCTAGAATTAAGGAACCTTCAATAACCTTTGACCACCCAAATCTGATCCTCAGGCTTTCGCAGGCAAAAAATATTGTCAAATTTAGTTAATTGGGAATTTAGCCAATCAGAATCATCAGGGGGTTCTGAACATTATCGTCACTAATGTAGCGTCCCGAGACTCCTTTAAGACAAAAGAAGGCACAATACTCGGGCAGAATACATATATTCAGCACTGAAAAGGTGTCTGGGCTATTGGCATGGCCCAAAAGGCCAGCCCACCCAGCGAGGTACAAGGGGGCTAATTCGAAGTACAAAAAGTGGCGCCTCACCAGAACCGAGGGATAAACCACTATCGTATTACATAGCCGCCCTCCTCTTTTGAGCGTCGTCCCCGGCGCTCCCACAGGTCAACCTCCCGCGTCAGCCATTACAACGTAGTCGGTGCAGTAAAAAAACACCCACGAGCCAACCGTCCCAGTCACCAAATTAGCGCGCAACTGAGGGGATAGTTGACCTCAACGTCACTGATCCCTCTTGGCAGCTTGACTGGATCTGGGGTTTCGTCCAGTTTAGGG